GTCAGGTGGTATATGTATGATATAGATGTCGTCAGGTGGTATATGTATGATATAGGTGTCACGTATATGTATGTATTGATGTAGACCTCACGTCAGGTGGTATATGTATGATATAGATGTCACGTCAGGTGGTATATGTATGATATAGATGTCACGTCAGGTGGTATATGTATTGATGTAGACCTCACGTCAGGTGGTATATGTATTGATGTAGACCTCACGTCAGGTGGTATATGTATTGATATAGATGTCACGTCAGGTGGTATATGTAAACGTCAGGTGGTATATGTATTGATGTAGACCTCACGTCAGGTGGTATATGTATGATATAGATGTGATGTCGTCAGGTGGTATATGTATTGATGTAGACCTCACGTCAGGTGGTATATGTATGATATAGATGTCACGTCAGGTGGTATATGTATTGATGTAGACCTCACGTCAGGTGGTATATGTATTGATGTAGATGTCACGCCAGGTGGTATATGTATTGATATAGATGTCACGTCAGGTGGTATATGTATTGATGTAGACCTCACGTCAGGTGGTATATGTATGATATAGATGTCACGTCAGGTGGTATATGTATGATATAGATGTCACGTCAGGTGGTATATGTATGATATAGATGTCACGTCAGGTGGTATATGTATTGATGTAGACCTCACGTCAGGTGGTATATGTATTGATGTAGACCTCACGTCAGGTGGTATATGTATGATATAGATGTCACGTCAGGTGGTATATGTATTGATGTAGACCTCACGTCAGGTGGTATATGTATTGATATAGATGTCACGTCAGGTGGTATATGTACTGATGTAGATGTCACGTCAGGTGGTATATGTATTGAAATAGATGTCACGTCAGGTGGTATATGTATTGATGTAGACCTCACGTCAGGTGGTATATGTATGATATAGATGTCACGTCAGGTGGTATATGTATTGATATAGATGTCAGGTCAGGTGGTATATGTACTCATATAGATGTCACGTCAGGTGGTATATGTATTGATGTAGACCTCACGTCAGGTGGTATATGTATGATATAGATGTCACGTCAGGTGGTATATGTATGATATAGATGTCACGTCAGGTGGTATATGTATCGATATAGATGTCACGTCAGGTGGTATATGTATTGATGTAGATGTCACGTCAGGTGGTATATGTATGATATAGATGTCACGTCAGGTGGTATATGTATTGATGTAGACCTCACGTCAGGTGGTATATGTATGATATAGATGTCACGTCAGGTGGTATATGTATGATATAGATGTGTGATATAGATGTCACGTCAGGTGGTATATGTATTGATGTAGACCTCACGTCAGGTGGTATATGTATTGATGTAGACCTCACGTCAGGTGGTATATGTATTGATATAGATGTCACGTCAGGTGGTATATGTAAACGTCAGGTGGTATATGTATTGATGTAGACCTCACGTCAGGTGGTATATGTATGATATAGATGTCACGTCAGGTGGTATATGTATTGATGTAGACCTCACGTCAGGTGGTATATGTATGATATAGATGTCACGTCAGGTGGTATATGTATTGATGTAGACCTCACGTCAGGTGGTATATGTATTGATGTAGATGTCACGCCAGGTGGTATATGTATTGATATAGATGTCACGTCAGGTGGTATATGTATTGATGTAGACCTCACGTCAGGTGGTATATGTATGATATAGATGTCACGTCAGGTGGTATATGTATGATATAGATGTCACGTCAGGTGGTATATGTATGATATAGATGTCACGTCAGGTGGTATATGTATTGATGTAGACCTCACGTCAGGTGGTATATGTATTGATGTAGACCTCACGTCAGGTGGTATATGTATGATATAGATGTCACGTCAGGTGGTATATGTATTGATGTAGACCTCACGTCAGGTGGTATATGTATTGATATAGATGTCACGTCAGGTGGTATATGTACTGATGTAGATGTCACGTCAGGTGGTATATGTATTGAAATAGATGTCACGTCAGGTGGTATATGTATTGATGTAGACCTCACGTCAGGTGGTATATGTATGATATAGATGTCACGTCAGGTGGTATATGTATTGATATAGATGTCAGGTCAGGTGGTATATGTACTTGATATAGATGTCGTCAGGTGGTATATGTATTGATATAGATGTCACGTCAGGTGGTATATGTATGATATAGATGTCACGTCAGGTGGTATATGTATGATATAGATGTCACGTCAGGTGGTATATGTATCGATATAGATGTCACGTCAGGTGGTATATGTATTGATGTAGATGTCACGTCAGGTGGTATATGTATGATATAGATGTCACGTCAGGTGGTATATGTATTGATGTAGACCTCACGTCAGGTGGTATATGTATGATATAGATGTCACGTCAGGTGGTATATGTATGATATAGATGTCACGTCAGGTGGTATATGTATTGATGTAGACCTCACGTCAGGTGGTATATGTATTGATGTAGACCTCACGTCAGGTGGTATATGTATTGATATAGATGTCACGTCAGGTGGTATATGTAAACGTCAGGTGGTATATGTATTGATGTAGACCTCACGTCAGGTGGTATATGTATGATATAGATGTGACGTCAGGTGGTATATGTATTGATGTAGACCTCACGTCAGGTGGTATATGTATGATATAGATGTCACGTCAGGTGGTATATGTATTGATGTAGACCTCACGTCAGGTGGTATATGTATTGATGTAGATGTCACGCCAGGTGGTATATGTATTGATATAGATGTCACGTCAGGTGGTATATGTATTGATGTAGACCTCACGTCAGGTGGTATATGTATGATATAGATGTCACGTCAGGTGGTATATGTATGATATAGATGTCACGTCAGGTGGTATATGTATGATATAGATGTCACGTCAGGTGGTATATGTATTGATGTAGACCTCACGTCAGGTGGTATATGTATTGATGTAGACCTCACGTCAGGTGGTATATGTATGATATAGATGTCACGTCAGGTGGTATATGTATTGATGTAGACCTCACGTCAGGTGGTATATGTATTGATATAGATGTCACGTCAGGTGGTATATGTACTGATGTAGATGTCACGTCAGGTGGTATATGTATTGAAATAGATGTCACGTCAGGTGGTATATGTATTGATGTAGACCTCACGTCAGGTGGTATATGTATGATATAGATGTCACGTCAGGTGGTATATGTATTGATATAGATGTCAGGTCAGGTGGTATATGTACTCATATAGATGTCACGTCAGGTGGTATATGTAAACGTCAGGTGGTATATGTATTGATGTAGACCTCACGTCAGGTGGTATATGTATTGATATAGATGTCAGGTCAGGTGGTATATGTACTCATATAGATGTCACGTCAGGTGGTATATGTAAACGTCACGTGGTATATGTATTGATGTAGACCTCACGTCAGGTGGTATATGTATTGATGTAAACCTCACGTCAGATGGTATATGTATGATATAGATTTCACGTCAGGTGGTATATGTAAACTTCAGGTGGTATATGTATTGATGTAGACCTCACGTCAGGTGGTATATGTATGATATAGATGTCACGTCAGGTGGTATATGTATGATATAGATGTCACGTCAGGTGGTATATGTATGATATAGATGTCACGTCAGGTGGTATATGTATGATATAGATGTCACGTCAGGTGGTATATGTATTGATGTAGATGTCACGTCAGGTGGTATATGTATTGATATAGATGTCAGGTCAGGTGGTATATGTACTCATATAGATGTCACGTCAGGTGGTAAATGTAAACGTCAGGTGGTATATGTATTGATGTAGGCCTCACGTCTGGTGGTATATGTATTGATGTAAACCTCACGTCAGATGGTATATTTTTTTATGTAGACCTCACGTCAGGTGGTATATGTATTGATATAGATGTCACGCCAGGTGGTATATGTACTGATAAAGATGTCACGTCAGGTGGTGTATGTATTGATATAGATGTCACGCCAGGTGGTATATGTACTGATATAGATGTCACGTCAGGTGGTATATGTATTGATATAGATGTCACGTCAGGTGGTATATGTATTGAAATAGATGTCACGTCAGGTGGTATATGTATGATATAGATGTCACGCCAGGGTGTATATGTATTGATATAGATGTCACGTCAGGTGGTATATGTACTGATATAGATGTCACGCAGGTGGTATATGTATTGATATAGATGTCACGCCAGGTGGTATATGTACTGATATAGATGTCACGTCAGGTAGTGTATGTTTTGATATAGATGTCACGTCTGGTGGTATATGTACTGATATAGATGTCACGTCAGGTGGTATATGTACTGATATAGGTGTCACGTCAGGTGGTATATGTACTGATATAGATGTCACGTCAGGTGGTATATGTATGATATAGATGTCACGCCAGGGGGTATGTGTATTGATATAGATGTCACGTCAGGTGGTATATGTACTGATATAGATGTCACGCAGGTGGTATATGTACTGATATAGATGTCACGTCAGGTGGTATATGTACTCATATAGATGTCACGCCAGGTGGTGTATGTTTTGATATAGATGTCACGTCTGGTGGTATATGTACTGATATAGATGTCACGTCAGGTGGTATATGTACTGATATAGGTGTCACGTCAGGTGGTATATGTACTGATATAGATGTCACGCAGGTGGTATATGTACTGATATAGATGTCACGCCAGTGGTATATGTTCTGATATAGATGTCACGCAGGTGGTATATGTACTGATATAGATGTCACGTCAGGTCGTATATGTACTGATATATATGTCACGCAGGTAGTATATGTACTGATATAGATGTCACTTCTGCTGGTATATGTATTGATGTAGACCTCACGTCAGGTGGTATATGTACTGATATAGATGTCACGCAGTTGGTATATGTACTGATATAGATGTCACGCAGGTGGTATATGTATGATATAGATGTCACGTCTGGTGGTATATGTACTGATATAGATTGGAGGTTGGAGATTGGAGGTTTGCAGTGATCCCTTGGTTTCATCACTGGAGGTTTGCAGTGATCTCTTGCTTTCATGATTGGAGGTTTGCAGTGATCCCTTGCTTTCATCACTGGAGGTTTGCAGTGATCCCTTGCTTTCATCACTGCAGGTTTGCAGTGATATCTTGCTTTCATCATTGGAGGTTTGCAGTGATCCCTTGCTTTCATCATTGGAGGTTTGCAGTGATCTCTTGCTTTCATCATTGGATGTTTGCAGTGATCCCTTGCTTTCATCACTGGAGGTTTGCAGTGATCCCTTGCTTTCATCACTGCAGGTTTGCAGTGATCTATTGCTTTCATCTTTGGAGGTTTGCAGTGATATCTTGCTTTCATCATTGGAGGTTTGCAGTGATCTCTTGCTTTCATCACTGGAGGATTTCAGTGATCTCTTGCTTTCATCATTGGAGGTTTGTAGGGATCTCTTGCTTTCATCATTTGAGGTTTGCAGTGATATCTTGCTTTGATCACTGGAGGTTTGCAGTGATCTCTTGCTTTCATCACTGGAGGTTTGCAGTGATCTATTGCTTTCATCTTTGGAGGTTTGTAGTGATCCCTTTCTTTCATCACTGGAGGTTTGTAGTGATCTCTTGCTTTCATCGCAGGAGATTTGTAGGGATCTCTTGCTTTCATTTCTTGAGGATTTCAGTGATCTCTTGCTTTCATCATTGGAGGTTTGTAGATATCTCTTGCTTTCATCACTGGAGGATTTCATGTAACTTTCATCACCTGATGTCCAAAATGATATAAAGGGTTATCACCGGATGTGCACAATGATATCAGCTTCTATCGATGGAGGTCTTCAATGATATGAAGGTTCCATCACTTGAAGTCAGCATACATCTCAAGGTTTCACCAATGGAGGTCAACACCGATCTCGAGTGTTCATCATTGGAGGTCTAAAAAGATCCCTGAGACTCATCACTTTATTATCTTTCGAGTGAGTGAGTGAGTGATTTTAGTTTCACGCCGCACTCAGTAATATTCCAGCTATATGGCGGCGGTCTGTAAATAATCGAGTCTGGACCAGACAATCCAGGGATCAACAGCATGAGCATCGATCTGCGCAATTGGGAACCGATGACATTGTGTCAACCAAGTCAGCGAGCCTGACCACCCGATCCCGTTAGTCGCCTCTTTCGACAAGCATAGTCGCCTTTTGTGGCAAGCATGGGTTGCTGAAGACCTATTCTACCCCGGATCTTCACGGGTCTATTATCTTCCGAAGATTTGATAATATTGTTCGGACATTTCTCTTGTCACAGAGCTAAGGATTATTAAAACTAGCAAATCGTTCACTACAAGAAATACATATACACGTGCTTTACGTTTTCGACTTGTTAAAGAAAATCTTAGAAGTGCAAATGGCTGCCTTCTGATTTCATAATCAGACAGGTAAATTCCAGATTCACTTCTACTTAAGCCCTTTAAGCACTAGCCAATAATAGATTCTTGTATGGTGTCTGTTTATTGCCCCAGAAATACGAAGGTGATTCTATTATTCATGTATACATAGATACAATTAAGGTGTCCAACATTTAGACACTTCAAATAAATATTTTGAGAATGACTTTTAGGCAAATAAAATCCCTCACATAACATGACAGTATGGTACATTTATATTTCTTAAAATAATTCATTAAAAAAATGTGGAATGTCAAGAAACATATATCTATATACTTGCGTCCGTGATGCTTCTCCACGCACAGAAGAGGAGGGGCACTCGCGATGTGTGGAGTCAACGGTTGTTAAAAAAAGTCAACACTTTATTATAAACGGAACGTGATTTCTTGTGGTTTCACTGTAAGCCGAACAATAAGGTCTGCATGAAGCAATAATATCATATGGTTACATTGGGTTACAATTTAAAGGTCTTTTCAGAGTGTAAACTCAATGTAATGTCATATATCAACACTCGCACATACAAATGTTATATTGACGTGGGCGTCGGTGCGGAAATTCTATACTCTTAAGTTAACACTGTTACAATTTCCTTGGTCACGTGACACAGTTTGAATAGAGTACTCCGTAGAAACACATATATAAATGGAACTGATTTTAAATTTCAGTACATAGTTTTAAAGAGGATAGGTTTATGCAAATAATCGGATAGTTGTAATACATTGCAATTTGAGGTTCCATCTGGCTTCTTGAAATAACTGACATACTCATTCGAAACAACACTGCAAATGTGCGCATGTTTTCATTTGGTAAGTTGAATCCATCCACATACAGTTCTGATTCGGACTGTATTCTTGAATCATCGAATTTATCAATATCAGTCGGATAGGTCCACGTTGTCAGGGGTGTGTCTGTTGATGCCGTGGCTCACCATCTACCACCACGTTTCCCCCTCACCCTACCTGCGGATAGGTCCACGTTGTCAGGGGTGTGTCTGTTGATGCCGTGGCTCACCATCTACCACCACGTTTCCCCCTCACCCTACCTGCGGATAGATCCACGTTGTCAGGGGTGTGTCTGTTGATGCCGTGGCTCACCATCTACCACCACGTTTCCCCCTCACCCTACCTGCGGATAGGCCCACGTTGTCAGGGGTGTGTCTGTTGATGCCGTGGCTCACCATCTACCACCACGTTTCCCCCTCACCCTACCTGCAGATAGGTCCACGTTGTCAGAGGTGTGTCTGTTGATGCCGTGGCTCACCATCTACCACCACGTTTCCCCCTCACCCTACCTGCGGATAGGTCCACGTTGTCAGGGGTGTGTCTGTTGATGCCGTGGCTCACCATCTACCACCACGTTTCCCCCTCACCCTACCTGCGGATAGGTCCACGTTGTCAGGGATGTGTCTGTTGATGCCGTGGCTTACCATCTACAACCACGTTTCCTTCTCACCCTACCTTCGGATAGGTCCACGTTGTCAGGGGTGTGTCTGTTGATGCCGTGGCTCACCATCTACCACATCGTTTCCCCCTCACCCTACCTGCGGATAGGTCCACGTTGTCAGAGGTGTGTCTGTTGATGCCGTGGCTCACCATCTACAACCACGTATCCCCCTCACCCTACCTGCGGATAGATCCACGTTGTCAGGGGTGTGTCTGTTGATGCCGTGGCTCACCATCTACCACCACGTTTCCCCCTCACCCTACCTGCGGATAGGTCCACGTTGTCAGAGGTGTGTCTGTTGATGCCGTGGCTCACCATCTACCACCACGTATCCCCCTCACCCTACCTGCGGATAGATCCACGTTGTCAGGGGTGTGTCTGTTGATGCCGTGGCTCACCATCTACAACCACGTTTCCTTCTCACCCTACCTGCGGATAGGTCCACGTTGTCAGGGGTGTGTCTGTTGATGCCGTGGCTCACCATCTACCACCATGTTTCCTCCTCACCCTACCTGCGGATATGTCTGGTATGCTTCCACTTGATGTATTGAGGTATGCCGAGCTGGAAACTGTCTTCAATCAATAACGTCATATCAATCATCTTGATGTCTTTAAAAAAAAACATTTCTGGGATGGTATAGCAATAATAAGCTATGGTTATCGATCCCACGTCTTGTTATGCCTACCATAATGATTGAAATAGAAATAGGTCAAGCGAAATGATCTTGTCTTTTGTATAATTATTTATGACAATTAATAACATTTCATAGCAGTAACAAACATGATAGAGAAACCATCATACCACCCACATGGCGTCATACCTTCAGTTGAAGTGAAAAAAATCATTGACAGAACCCAGGTCCCACCCGACATATGGAGGCAGGAAGCCACAGTATGCAAGGAATGTAGCTTCGATAACGCAATACACACGGCTCTGCTCTCTTTTAAATTACGACATTATATATATACGCCAAGTAGAAGAATGTGTCTACCAACACTTTCGTCTGGGTGGAGAGGACTCCGGATTCTTTCAGTCGGTGGGGTCTGTTGTAGAGGCTACCGAGTGGGCGCCGATGTTGAAATGGAATGCCAGATAACTTCTTAAATTGACAAAGTCAAAGCGACTTTGCTATATAAAGCCCAGCTATGAAGAGAGACAGTTTAGAAGCTCTGTCAATTTCTCAGTGTGAGTTCTGGCCGGTGGGTGGTCGTTCTTGGGTGCGGTCCCATGGGGCCACACAGAGGCTTAGCATCAAACAATTTCGCCCGGTGATGGGCTGGCAGGATTGTGTTACTGAACCATAATGCGGATGAATTTACAAGATCATATAAGAGGTTTATTTGCAATATTCTAGCCTTTTCTGGACGTATAATGTTAATTCGTACCACCCTGGGCAAAGGCGTATGTCGAGGGCGTCTGTAACTGTGTACTGCGATAATACAATCACACTTAGAGGGAACATCATCTGAAAAGATTAAGTCCGCAACAGGTGTATAAAACGGTGTGATTCACGCACTGCCGCAAACATTTGGATGCTGTTCATGTGTTGATGTCCACCACGAATTTCTCATAGTGGATTACACTGATTATAGATCAGAGGTAAGTTATGATCGTCTGTTATTGCTAAACCTACCCGGATGTATCGTCTGGATGTGTCGTCTGCTTGCCACTATGACAAGCATTTCTTAAGTTCAAAGTTCAGGGAGTATGTCTTTTAATATATATCGACAAACAATAGTCTCATATTTCACATGTCACAAATTTCGTTGATTATTTAAACAATAAATCATATATTTCAGCCTTAAATCTTGGTAGGCGAGGCACTCATACTTACAATTTGTCACTCGTTAATCGAAGGGAATATTCTTTCAAAGAATATGTGGTCGTCTGCTGAAGTGTCGTCTGCTTGTCTTGTAGTCTGCCTGTTGCGTTGCTTGGCTTACCCACTTGTAAACATCGAGGACGAACAATCTCAATCACAAGACGTTGCCACTGGGCCTATAGGACTTATACTATGTGTGTGATAATTACTCCAAAACTGACCAATGAGAGTGAAGTATTTGCGTCCATATGTGTACGGATCTCCCACAGTGATTTCCTCTGCACCGAGAGTACTGCAGAGTGTAGAAAGCACAACTCATCAGGTCCACATACAAATTCACCATAGTAGGATTTGGTTGAATCATATAAATCAAAAAGCGACTTGTTCCACATGAGATCGTCATGACTTGCAGTTTAAGTGTTGACGTTTTCCTTCTTTGAAATAGAAAATTCATATTTCAATTTATCGCACAAGACACATATGCTAATAGGCTGATAAAAGACCTCTGATCTACACACTATTAGCCCAGTCGAGTCGAGCATGCGGGGAAAACCGCTCGGGTCACATACCAATCATTTTAAGCACATTTTTGGTGTGATTTTGTTACGGGTACGGGACAACTGAGTTGACCTGCACGTGACATCATCTGGTGCTGGCTCGAGTGATAGTGATGAAATCGTCATGGCTATTTTCGGAGCTTATTTAGAGTAGCTATCAGTTGTTTTAGTCAACTCCAGGATTGAAAACAGTAAACACATAACAAGTTGATGTGAAGAATATGAAGCTCCAGTTATGAATGCGCCTGGTGTTCACGGTGTTTATCAGTTCACAAACATACACACGGAAGAGCAGTGACGGTTGAAGCTATCAATGGAATGTACCCCACTGGTAGGTGAGAAAGGCAAATCGCACAGGTATGTTAGATATTTTAATTTTATTATCATGGCAAATAGTACATGTATTTCTACGTAATTTGATTATCAAGCTGGGATACAATCAAAATATATGACCGCTGATGAATATAGTGTCTGCATACGTTTCCGTGTTAGTAGGAAGATCTCATTTTCATAGGAAGATATTCAAGTCTTGTAATGTAAATAAACTTTGAAATATAGTTTAGTTTAGTTGATACACTGATGTATCACCGATCATTGGTTTTGTATTGACACTATGACATTCACAGACTGTAGTAAACGTATATATCATGTAAAGGTCAGAGGACATATATGCATGTCTAAATATAGAAAGGTTGACATGGAAATAGCTTTCTTATTCAAACGGTGTCTCCATGTTTATGTGTTTTGTGCGTGGGTAACTGTGACTAACAATGGCATCAAGGAAGGATTCAACACAATTGCTGACCATGACGGCATATCTAATTTCGGGTCTGTAGGTCGGCTGTATTATGTAAATGTATTATTCTAAAATATATTACACAGAATATATATGATATATCATATCATATCATATGCTATAATGTAAATATGAATATGATATATGTTTACACACACATCGTAATAATGTACATAATAATAGACATATTAGCAATACAATAAATATATCACATGTAGTCTTGCAAAAAGCATCAGTTATTGTCTTCAACTCCTTGTCTGTGTGGCACCTATTATTCGTCCCTGCAGAACTGACTCACTCACTTACTTGTTCGTATTTGTTAATGTTATCCATATAAAACCTCTTTCTTATGAAAATTATACAAGCATAGAATTGAATAATTTAAATAATTCACATGGTAGAATACTTTTGTTAGTTAAAATAAAATCTGCTGCTTATCTGACATCAAGTTGAATATACACGTATCGTGTTTAGTTGGTTACCTCTAAACACCCATCAATTACACAAATCAGTGTTGCAATTACTGTCGAGATTTATCAAATATCAATTCAGCTTACCGGACGTAATATTTTCCTCCCGATTGCCATTGTTTACAAGAATCAAATGTCTTCGCTCGGCCGGAAAGCCATTCTGCCTGTCAAGGAGGCATCGCTAACCATGCGTGAAGATGGGTGTGTCGCGGAGTTTGACACTGATACATTGCTTGTTGGAAACACTGTCAAGGCTATGCTGGCGATGTGTGGACGGTTTGGTAATACAATTCACACCTGGTAATATAAAACTCCTGTAGAGTTTGTAGTCCTAGACCAGTCGAAGGTAATGGTTCAGTGGAATGTGGTAGATATTAAACAGTGCAATGTTCAGTGTCAATACGGTGTGTTTCTTGTGGGATAGTGGTATTGAACAGTATTCAAAAACATACTGAAAATATACATAATATAAACATTTGAATTAACTTAAGTTGTTCAATGTATTGAATATTTAATTCCAATAAAGATTTTTCGTTAACTTAATGTAGAACTTGTGTCATGCAACATGAGAATACAATGAATTTGTAAATCCTCAAGGTTCACATTTTTAACTGTCAAACAACCTGCAAATCAGCCATTGTTTTGAAATGTGTTTACAGGTATTTTGTTATCTTTGTGTGAAACATGTTCAATTACAATTTGAATACATAATTATAATATATGTTACAAGAAATAAGATAATACATATGGAATCAGTTTATACATATTTAAGAATGCATTTGCTTTGTGATCTATTAAGAATGCAAGTAAATCATTTGACGTTATTGACGATGTATGTTGTGAAGATCTTAAAATACGTCAACAGTTTGTTGATTGAACCTGCAGGTTTCATTGGCTTTCACTTGTTAGCACAGTATGGACACATCTCTAAGTTGGAACAAAATATATGCAGAGAAATTCTTATAATTTGTTTATAGCAATATGTTTTAAAAAACAAAACAAAAAACATGCAGCGGCTTTTCTTAACAACAAAACGAATTATATGATACTGTCATTAAGTTATTTATCTGTCGAAAAATGAAGAAATATATACACAACAAAGAGTTGTTTACTTGTTTACATGTTACTAGTTGAATCATGCAAATGATCCTGATGTGATGTTTAAACGTGTAAATGAGCAAAGTCTAAGCATTAAAAAACAAATCAATAAACATACAGTGGCTTTTCTAAACAACTAAACAAATTATGTATAAATTATGTATATATGATACTGTCATTAAGTTTTTAACATGTCGTAAAATGTAGAAATATATACACAACAAATAGTTATTTAGTTGTAACTAGTTTATTGACGCAAATGGTCTTTGGGGAAATGCTGACAAGTTATCAGTGGCCATGTATTGGTTTAATCGTGTCATTGAGTAAAGTCTAAGCATCCCTTTAACATGTTGTACACAGTAACCAATATACAGTAACACCATCCCTGCAGTAGCATGTGACGAGTGTCAATCAGAAACCATATCAGGGACCAGGTTCGTTAAGCCATGGTCGACCTCACACCCAAGTGGGTTTGTGAATAAACTCCAGATTCATTCATATAACACGCTTCAGAAACTACGGTCGTGTTCATTTCTTAGTTTCCAAGTCGTCTCGCCGATCCTGTTAGCGAGGAGGACACGGCGTGCCCCGAGGCAATGGTATAAAGACAGAGTGAGCCATTTTCATCATCGCTTACGCGATCGAAAAACGACTGATATATTTGATATTAGCTGACGTCGTTTATATTGTATGAAAGTGTTTATCATGACAAGAATTGATGACATAAGTTCGCGCTGAGTACAGCTGCAGGGTGTAACTATCTGATAATCAGCGGCGCTCAGTCATCGTACCGTGCGCGTTTCTACATGGAATGACGTAAATAAAACGCGTTCCTAAAGAATTAAACTACCGGGTAAAAGAAAACATACACTTAAAAGTAGGATTTTACTGAAAAATTACAATCCTTATCAAATAGTTAAAACACAGCTGTGGTTCCCAACACATCACGATCAAATAAGCATATATTGTTTCATTTGACCATTAAACGTGCGTGTATACCTCCTCGGCAGTTTGGTTCTCTTCAAATGTATGATAATGGTTTAGGAATGACATGGTTTCAGCTTTATTTTAACCCCCCACTACAACCACTCCACCCCAAGTTTCCATCTTCAAAAGCTTCTTTTTTTTAAATTGGTATTTATCTTCCTTCACCTTCCAAAACTGTTGCTCATATATCCGTAGTTGTGGAAACAGAATGTACTCATAATTCATACAGATGTCACCAAATATCTTAAATCTATTATCATATCTCAATTCATATCATTCACTACAGGCTGAGAGAATGGAAACGTTATCATTCTGAACATACTAGATAAATGTACCAACCGTTATGCCTGGAAAGGGATATTGTTCTAAAAATGTACACAGTTCATAATATTTAAATATACTTGATTTCTTTAGTATTGTATTATTAATACAGAACGTCAGTACGATAGAATACCCAGTCTTGACTGTCCCTGAAACAAATTCTGTTTGGTGTGAGGGGGAAAATAGCTGTGGAAAATATATGAATGGATCACTGACAATCAGGTATGACACCAGGTGTTCGCGATAAGGTACCCATGTCTTGGACTACTGGTAGCAACTTCCATTCACAGAAAAGGTTATGTCTGACTGTACTCCTGCCGTCCGACTGCAAGTACTGATAAAAGTTGTCACTGAAGATTATACAATGTCTTATTGTAGTTAATGGTCAACAGGCCAGTTAAGTCAAGTCGAGTCGATTTATTCTCAAAAAGGTGCTTATTTGCAATTGACATAATTTAGACGTGATGAGAGATACATGAATACTGGTATGTCAAACAGGTTTGTTTTTGGTTGCTATTAGTGGGGGAAATGGAAATAAATGTAGGGCACATCACATGTGTGTATTTAAATACAAGTGAAAGTGTAAACCAAGATTGGCAGCTTAACAACCTGGTAAGAAAGTCAAATGTACCGGTGAGCCCTGAAGATGAATTACCGAACAATATAAACCATCATAAAGAGCACAGCACTTTAATGAAGATTAATTATTAGCTATAATACATAATTGACAAATTTGACAGAATCAGCCATCAACTCGTATTGTATTAAATGTTACAGGTATTCATTTCGTGCACAATTGTTTTATAGGTATGATATTGACGGGATGATATAACGAAACAGTGCAAAAATGCCAGGTAGAAGATTAATTAAGGAATACATCAATCAGTTACAGCGATATTTAGTTTGATGGTGGCATTAAATTGTGACGGTAATGTATATGGAGTTGAAGGACTGGAGGTCGGTCGTCTCACATCCTGCCTCTCTAGGTGTAAGTCGACTCTCCCAATCGTCCTGTCTACTCTCCTTCACGACTAGGAAGGTCAAGGCCGCCCTAAACAAACCTTCTCACCGTGATCAGGGTGCTTGATAAGATCTGTGCATTTATTATCCACTATTAGGTTGATTTAAGGGCAGTAATGACCTGATAATGTTACAGACACGTTGTCCACATGGAGCAGAGTTTCTACAAGAACCCATTCAAGGAAACTAAGGACACGTGATCTGCCGTGTCCCTAAAGCCCCTATCCAGATACAAGAGTCATAATTGAATTAAATGGCGGGGTTTGCGTAACCTACTTGAATAGTGATTTCTTTTTGTTGACAAGGACAAGGGAAAGTAACTTGAATCTCATTTTAGTGATAATTTAGAAGGAGGTGTTTTCATTTATCACTTTGAAATGTAATCATACTGACCGACTTATTGATAATTATTTATATCATAGATACACAAATAGTAAGTGTACTCTGTTATCGATGGTTCGTAGGAACCTGTAGGTTACTCGCACTGAGCCATGCACTTGGTTTGTCTAAACAAACATCACTGACACATCCGTTACTATTAAATTATTTACTACATGTATTTGAATGATTCAGGAAAATGAAAATAATGATCACAATATATGCAAATAGAATCAAAGGTTTTTAATATTAAAAAAGGTTGCTTGTAAAACGCCTGTAGTTGAACA